AGTGACGAGCTCCGGGAAGCTTCCGCCCACAAGGTCGACGGGCGTGGGGGGGAAGCTGGCCGGCCGCCGAATTCTCCTCAACCCACCCAGCCCCTCCGCCCCCCGGGGCCGCACTCGGGCCTCTGAGACGCCTCTCGAACGTCAAAGAGGCTCCGAGCGCGCCTACTCACCCCCCGAGAGCCGCTCCCGACTCCCGCAGCTTTTCAACCGGCCCCAGCCTCCCAACGTGCTCGCGTCGGGCTCGGGAGGGGGCGGGGCCTCAGGGGGCCCGCTCTACCAATAGGAACGTAGTGCCCGCCTTCGAGACTGCAGATAGACCGCGCCGAGGGGCGGAGCCTCGCGATGCCGAGCCCGCCAAAAGGGGCGACTGCCACACCCGACGAGAGCGTCGACGCCGTCGCCTCAGGCTGAGGGATTGTGCCTCGCTGCGCTCTGAGAATTCCTAGGCCCCCGGCCCTGGCGGACACTTGGTGTTGCCTCTTAACGGAATGTCCGCCTTCTCGCCTCCCGAGTTCTGTGAACCCAAACCGGCAGATAATTGGCTGACTCCGGTTTTGTGACGTTCTCAGAAGTTTAGAGCACTGAATGCTCTAACAAAGGACCACGGTTCGATTCCCAGCAATCCACATGGCAACTGACAACCAACCTTTAACTCCAGTTCAGGGGATTCATCCCCTTTTCTGGCCTCTGGGCACCAGACAATCATGGTGTGCTCTGGCGTACATTCAGGCAAAACACATGCACACATATAGCCTATAAAATAAGTAATAAACCAGACAGGGAATGCAGATAAGAAAATGGCCTCCAGTGAGACGCTAAAACAGGTGGTTTCTATAATCTCTTATTCCTCCCAGACCTTCTGCCTTCCCAGAACATCACATGTACCGTCCGCCCTCCCAGGCTCTAGTGTGACACAAGCAAATACTCAATACTTGGGATCCTTCCACATAATTTTCATTCTAATGATGATGAGAGAAAGACTGATGGCTTTTAGACATTCTCCCTTGACTTTTTTTTCTATAGCGCACACACACACACACACACACACACACACACACGCACGCACGCACGCACGCACGCACGCACGCACGCACGCGCACATTATCACCATGAAAAAAAAGCAACTTGATAGTCAAATAAATGGTTTCTACGTAAATCAAATGGTTTCTTCCTAGTTAAGCTGTCTTGTGCTACTATCAATACAGACAGTACATAAACAGTGCTTTCTGTATGCTAGGTAATACATCAGTTGAACTCCATTTCATTTTCACAACGGATACCAAGGAGAAGCTTTTACACAATTTAAATATTGAAACTTGGACAAACTGAAGTGACAAAAGTCCATATGTAAGCCAGTTCTAATCCCACCCAAACTACTTATACACTGCACCCAATTTTTTCAAGTATCTCTGCCTTAATGCATTTTATGAAGAAACATGTTTTACTCAAGGTCTCCAAGCAGCAGCAGCAGGACTCCCAGATCTTTGTTCCCCAGCACCTCAATATTGCTGAAGGAATTGTTAGGCCAAGATGATAAACTACAATAAAGCCATGACCCCTGTCAGGTGCTTGCTACTTGAAGAGCCTTCCAAGAATAACAGACAATCCGGGATAAGTGTCCCTCGTTTGACATCAGGAGGTGGGGTGTGTGTGAATCAGTAAAGCAGGGGAAAATGTGCAGAAATCAATTATCAGTGAACAGTTAGGGTAGGTTTGGGGAATTTAATTCAGTAGGATATACTTGTCTAGCATACTCAAAGCCGTGGATTTGATCCCCAGCACTTCATGAACTGAGTGGGCACAGCGCTGGGGTGGGGGTAATGAGAGAGAAGTTCAAGGTCATCTGGGGCTACCTAGGGAGTTGGAAGCTAAGGAGAAAACACACTTTAAAATTTATTTTAAATGGTGATAGAATAAAAGTTAGGTTTAGGGAAACTCATACATTATTGTTAAGTAACTTTTTTAAATGGGGAGGATGAGCTTGGTGGCACATACCTATTCCCAGCATTCAGGAGGCAGAGACAGGTAAAAGGATCTCTGTACAAGTTCAAGGTCAGCCTGGGCTATATAGTAAGAACCCTATATCAAATAAAATAAAACATAAGAGGGCTGAGAATTAGCCCAATGATAGAGACTTTGAGCTTGTCAGTAGCATTCTGGAAACACTACAAAGATAGAGATAGATAGATAGATAGATAGATAGATAGATAGATAGATAGATAGATAGATAGATAGATGGGATCAATCCCTAATGTGAAAGAATATCAAAAACTCAGACTTTGTACTCCTTATATGGTAACCTTTTTCCCACATGTTCATTTGTATCAAGTTAAAAGTTAAGTGGAAACTAATTACATGCTGGTGTTCTCTTAAATAATCCACTCAGCAAAAGCCAGCTATCCTTGTCTATGTATAGACAACCAGAGTTTGATGGGAAAGAATTCTTAAAACTAAGACCAGTGAAGTATTGTTCTAACCCAAAGCAACATTTATTTTAGAAAATTGGTGAATTCAGGGTTATAATTTATACTTTTAAATTGGGAAGCTCTAAAATATAATATGGCTTTTGTTTTTCTTTTTTGCTAAGGTTTCATGTACAGCAAGCAGTCCTAGAATTCCTAATCCTCCTGCCTCCATCTCCTCAGTACTGAAATTACAGGTATGTGCCACAACACCCATATTAAAATAAGTAAAATGGATAGTAATTTTAAATTTCATTGCATAAAGCTACTAACAGTCAATATTGGAAATATTTGTCAGGTTGGAGAGATGTCTCAGCAGTTAAGAGCACTGGCTGCTGTTTCCAGAGGACCCATGTTTAATTCCCAGCACCCACAGGGCAGCTCAAGACTGTAGCCCCAGTTTCAAGAGTTCTGACTCCCTCACACAGACATACATGCAAGCAAAACACCAATGCTCATAAAATAATTTTTTTAAAAAAAATATTATTTGTCAGTTGCTTATTGGGACCAAGCATTGTGAAGTAACAAGGAGAAGACTCTGGAGCAAGCAAACAGACATAGTTACTTTTGTCAAATTTACAGTTCAGTGGAGAGTGGATCTAAGTCTAGCATCTATAGGGACAGCTAGGCTTAGGCATAAATATTGAATAAACAGTCCCCTCTGGGAGGAGCAGAAAAAGGGGCAGAAATTTGCTAAATCCCGCCCACGTGAGAAAAGCCATAGCAAAATACAAAAAAAAAAAAAAAAAAAAAAAAAAAAAAAAAAAAAAAAAAATCCATCTACAGGTTTATATTTGTATACATGGCGGTGGGGATATGTGGAGGGAGGGGTACTACCACAGATGCATATAGTTCTGAAGCCAGAGTAGGAAAAGCAGAAATGCAAAAACACCAGAGAATAGGGGGCTGGAGGGATGGCTCAAAGGTTAAGAGCACTGACTGTTCTTCCAGAGGTCCTGAGTTCAATTCCCAGCAACCACAAGGTGGCTCACAACCATCTGTTATGAGATCTGGTGCCCTCTTCTGATGTGAAAACAGAATGTTGTATACATAATAAGTAAATAAAATCTTAAAAAAAAAAAAACCAGAGAATAATAGTAAACAGTGGGAAATTAAATTTTGGGACCACAGTTGCCTTTGTAAATTTGCAAACATATGCATCTAGTTCAACTCTACATTTTTGTTAATTAATTTTTCTAGTTAGTGTATAAAATAATGGGTTTTATTATGCTTTCATACATTTATATCATATTTTGCTCATATTCCCCCCTACCCTCCTCTGCATCTTCTCTCCACTTCCTCTCAGTTCTCTTCTTTCCTTCTTTAAAATAGTCTTTCCTGCTTCCACGTGTCTCTCCTTCCTCCCCCCTCATATACATATGCACACACACACACACACACACACACACACACACACACACACACACACATATATATATATATATCAGACAAATATGTATTTCCTCTCATGCAGAATCTAGTAGCACACCATCGAATCTAGTTTATGATGTGGTACTAGGGATTGAACCACACCCAGTTTATCCATTGGGTGGGATATCACCCAGGGCTTCATTCATACTAGGCAAGCATTCTTAGAGAGCTTGCTTTGTAGCCCATGATGGAACTGGATTTGGGGTCTGGCCTTGAGCTCATGGAACTCCTTCCTCAGCCTCCCCTGGTTACAATCACAGCAGTGCAGCACCACTGCCAGCTGCCACTCCTTGTCTTAAAAAGGGAAAACTATAATGGCTCAAGATCACACAGCAATCTAGTAATAAGGATTAATCCCCGAGGCTCTGGTTTAGCATTTAACTAAAGAGGATGAAGAGGTAGTGGTGGTAGAGGAAGAGTTGTGAGGGACCCTTCTAAGGGTATCACTGTACCTTCTGATTAAGCCTTACAGAAGACACTGTTACCTTTGTTTTAGAGATGAACAAACTAAGACAGAGTGCTGTCGCTTTTATAACCTGGCGGTTCTTTTCTGCCTGATGAGACAGGCTCTGCCCTTATCTGCCAGAATTTATGGTTTGCTTATCCAAAACCTTTTCCCCTAACTCTTGAGCATTGCTTTTAGGCCATAAAACCCACTCTTACAAGTGAGGTCACTGGTGCTTTACAATAGTCTAAGTGACTTCGATGTTGTCTTAGGGCCTGGCCAATCCTGACACCCACAGGCATTATGTTTACCTCAGTCAAACTCCCTAGACCTAAATCTTGGGCACTATCTCTGAGTCAGTGGTACCATTCTTGTGAAAGAAGCCAGATGTCCTTTGTAAGGACTCTCAATGTAAACATGTCTTAAATTGTTGTGCACTTAGGGATGAGTTAATTGTTATCTGAACACTCTTTTTCAAAATTGTACTGTGCTTAAATATGGCTAAAGTAAAATGATCTGGGCCAGACTCTAGATGTCCTGGTCCAGCACTGGTTACAACAAAATTGGGCTGAGCCAAGTTTCATTCTTTTCTCTTCCTGGATCATTTTTCCCTGCCTGCTGTAAAGTCTGTAGGAGAATGCCCCCATAAGAGTGGTTATCTTCTTACTACTACCTAATATATAAGCAACCAGGACCAAGTTCCTAACCTCTGTAATTTGCCTCCAAAAGCCCATGCATTTCCTCATATGTCATTTGATCTCCCTTCATTACACTGAAGGTCAAGAGCCACATATTGGTGGTGTGTAACCGTATTACCATCTATTCCCCAGGCTAAGATGGGGGGAGCATAAGGCAGGAGTTCAAGACCAGCCACAGCAACACAGCT